ATATCTATAAACACTTATTTAAGCAATGAATAGCTTAGCTTGCAATTATTCAGATTCTTAATTTTACATTTTTTTTTTTTTACTTGTAACATGTGCCAAGTTCTCTGTGGATGGAAGTTCAAATTTAATTAAAAATGCACAAAACCCAGCACTTTAATTTTTATTAATTAAATAAAACTACCTTAAATGTGCCGGATACATTAAAATATTTATCAAAATTTTAATTTGCATTCAAAACTGATTTATGAAACAAAGGAAGTTTTATCTGTAGTTAGTGAATTGAACTGATTGTTTCTGGACACCAAGATTTTAGAATGAGTAGATTTCATCCTCTCACACCTAGTTTTAATTCAGAGATTGGAAGAGAATCATACTTTCCTGTTTTTTCAACTCCCAGTTCGTTTCTTAACTTTGAATGAATTGCTCATTGAACTGAACTAGTTGAATAAACTGAAATGAGGAAAATAGTCACTCTGTACCTACAGAAGAAATTACTTCTGTCAAAAGCTGGTATGACCTTCAGTGAACTCTGGTTTCAGGTGCTTAGCCCATGACTTCCACAAGTTCACTGATTTGACTTTCTTTAAAATTTGGCAGCAAATATGAACTGCTTAATCATTTTTTTGTATTTAATTTAAATATTTTAATTAAAAAACATTTAGGACTAAACATAGGTTGTGAATTTTAAATTTCATTTTGAATAGGTTTATTTTTTTAAAAAAATAATCTTTTAATTTAAATGAAAAGAATCAATTTTTACCCACCCTTATCATTAACTTATGTGTACTGAAAATTTAAATTATACACATACTAAGTCTGTTAAGAATATTAACTTTTCCACACAAGTGTACTAAAACTTACCCATAACCATATAAAAGAAACCATCAATATTTATTTACTAATGCATTTTAATGTGTGGGTTAAAGGACTTTATTAGGCAGACCAATACTACATACAGGGCTGTATTAAGCCATCATAGGGCCCTAGGCAAACATACATTTCTGGGCCCCTACCTTCTAATATGAACAACAACAAACAGCTGATAAATGGAAGAAGGGAAAAATTATATACCTAAATGATGTTCCCTTGCATACATGTCACTGTAGTAAATTCCCATCCCATCAGTTGTTGCTGCTGGAGAAGCAAGTAATTTCTTTACCCATGCCTTCCTCTCTCTTTGGCTTTGTTGGGAAAGGGAAAGTGAGTTTTAGCTGTGTGTGAGGACTGTCTCTGCCCACTCATCCTCTGGTGCAGATTTGCATGTGCAAACTGAAAGAACTTCACTCACTTGAGTGAGTGGCATTTGCAGCTTTTTCAGTTTGCTCTAGGGAACCAAAACACAAATCTGGGCTGTAGGTACATGCCTAGTTGCCTATGGGTCAATCTGGTTCTGGCTCCATGAAGGGCAGATCTAGGGATGGGGAATGGAGTCTCTGGACACAAGTGACTCCATGCTTTAAGGACTCTCCTGTGTTCCTGCCTCCGCTCCCCCAGCAGTACTGCCTTGGTGTGCAATGGAGCTGAAACAGCAGTGCCATGAGGAACCTTTCAAGGACTGGTGTGTGTGTGTGTGTGTGTAAATCCTCTCTCTCCATATTTATAATCATAACAATTAGGTACACCATCACTAATAACTTTGCTTGATTACAGCTTGATTTCTGCAAGTGTAGCCTAAACACATGGTTTCAGTGAGCTTGAACTATATGGAAAGTTTGACGCATCTATGTGCTTTTCTTCTGTTCAGATGATTCCAGAAAAATACAAAAAAAAGTCTGACCCTAGTTATATTTAATTAAATATTAATTTAAATGTAATTATAATTTACAAACTAAGAGATTTAACGAATAAATCTTCAGAAAATTCACTCTATATTCAAAAAATAAATGCTATAATTTTGGTGAGAATACACTATCTATTCTTTATAAGTAAGAAAGAGGCTGAATCCCTGCTATAATGGCAACCTCATCTCTGCCTCTGTGATGGAGTTATGACAGGCAACAGATAAATATATTACATTATATGATTTCAACTACTACAGAGTAGCTGGAATTGGTTTATTTTGTTGCATTACAGTAGAACAAACATGTTTTTCCTCTGCACTTTTTGTCCGCTATACACTTAGCTAATCTTTCATGTTACCGGATTTCGCTGGATAGTCTCCATTTTGGCTGAATCCAGCTGCCAGTTCCACTGCACCAGAAGAGCAGGTAGTGTTTTGAGAGAGAGTGAACCCCGTTAGCTTAGGGGAGTGCAGTGAGTTTTGAGGCAGGTCAGAGATTTCTTCTTATGACTGTTGTTTGTATTTCTATGCACTTCACAGATCTTCTTATTGACCTAAGTCTCATGCCCCAACCTTAGAAAACAGTTAAGTATTAGCCCTTGTGGTTTTACAAACAAACTAATGGAGAGGTGTTCGAGGTCACTTCAAACAGATTTGGGATAAGAATCCAAGTCTCCAGTATCTTATCCACTCAGCTACACTGCCTTTCAGATTGAATGTATTTTAGTGATCTAACCTCTAACCATTACATGACATGCCCTTCCCAAATCTAGGAACAGAAGTCAAGATTTCTGATCTCCAGAATTCTGCCTTATTTTTTTTTTTATAGAATATTGGAGATCAGAAATATTAAGTTCTCAAATGATTTGAATTCAAGTTGAATGAACAGATCTGTTTTCTAATTTAAAGAGGTCCTGCTCTTTCAAATGGTCGCCCGGTATTCGCTAAAGTGATATGGTCATTTGTTCCGAATACCTACAAACTTCATTGTGAGAACCATCTTTGGCTTCTACCCAATGAAAACAGAATGGGAAAGCCAACAGGCATTCTACCTCATAATGTACCAGATTTGGTTCAGGACTGTACATCATGGAGGCACATAATGCACTTGGTGGCCTCTACACTGTCCAGACAGGATAAAAACAAATATTCTACTGCTGATTAGCGAATAGCTGTGTAATCCACTGGCAAAGTGTCAAATCCCCCTCTAGTGGTTGTTCTGTGTAGAGCTGTGGTTTTAAACCTTTTTTCATTTGCGGACCCCTAAAAATTTTTGAATGGAGGGATAGACTCCTTTGGAAATATTTGATGTAGTCTGCAGACCCTCAGAAGTCCGTGGACCACAGATTGAAAACCACTATCTAGAGGGTAATATTTGCTCCTGTAATCTAAGTGGCAGAGGTCTGTACTTGGAGTCCAAAATTCTAGGATTCAAACCCTCTTGATGACCCATATTGTGGGGAAGACCTTATGGTTGAATGTAATAGATTTTTTCCCTATTTTGTGTATTAAAAACAAAATACAACTGGTGTATTTAACCCAGGGTGAAAAAACATCCTCTAAAACAGGTTATATCCTCAAAGCCTTTATAACCTGTCAGTTGTGGTGCATTGTGTAACAAATTACAGGTGTTACATGTTTTGTTTACTGATGTGACACAGTGGTAAGTTTGAAGGTTGTGAAGGATGCCTCTTAGTTTATTTGTGTTGATGTGATAGTAACTTGCTTTGTTGGGTAAAAAATGATTTTCTGTGGTAGATGACAAGAAAAGCTCTGGAAACTCAGTTTCTCTGTTGGTCTCTACACCACAAAAGGTTCAACCTGGCATTCAGATTTCTGCTGTTAGCACTTTACCTGTCCAGTTGCTGATCCAAAGGGGCAATGTTTGCATACACTTATGCACAGGCTGTCTTTACACATATTCAGTCATAAGGCGGCTCTAAATAAGCCCTAACAATTAATCCATAGGCTGTGAGAATACTTGGAATTATTAAATGTATCACTGCTAGACAAATTCAGATTGGAAATAAAACATAAATTTTGAACAGTGAGGGGTAATTAGCCATTGGAAAAATTTACCAAGTGTCATGGTGGATTCTTCATCACTGACCATTTTTGAATCAAGATTAGATCTTCTAAAAGATGTACTGTAGGAATTATTTTGGGGAAGTTCTGTGGCTGGTGTTATACAAGGGGTCAGGCTAGATTATCACAATGGTCCCATCTGGCCTTGGAATATATGGTATCTTTCTGTCTGTGAGAGAGATTATATAATTATTTTAAACCAAAAAATAGGATATGAGTTTGTGATTTTAAATAAATGCTAATTGCAACTAATGTACAAGAATTATCTGGCTTTAAATAGGCACAGAATGCCAGTTTTGTTACAATTTTGGTGGGGTTGTAAATTGTCATATTCTGTGGTGTCCTGCCTACTGTCTTTTCAGTTTCCACACTTCTCTCAAATTGACAACCAATCATGTTTCTACAGCTTATTAGTTGATAGTGGTTGTCTTTAGCAAAAAGTAAAAACACAGAATGAATTGTCTTAAAGATAAGTGACCTTTTTTAAAAAAAGGAAAAGTATGACATTTGTCTTCCCAACTGGAAATATTACTCTTGATTTGTATTTTCATGTTTCCCTCTTTAATATTTTCATTTTTATTTAGATACCCCTTTTTAAAAAAAGTACGGATTTATGTGGTAGCCAGCTAAGTTTGATTCCTGCTTAAATCTACCCGGAATTTAGGATTTCTAGGATGAAAATAGAGTAGGTTAACCTGCAGCGTTTATAACAAATTATCTTTTTGTTCTTCCCTTTTCCTATCCCCCATGGTATGTTTTCTTAATTTACAATCCAGATTCACCTGGCTGGAAAATCTGTCTGTATCTGTTTTGTAAAATGTCATGCACATCCACGATATCTGTAAGTAATAATAACAAGAAACTATAATGTGTTTCTTTAACGCAGTTTGTTCATTTAGATTCCAGGTTAGCTCTTTTTTTCAACAGCAGTCCATTTTACTTTCAGGTAGAAATCTGAGTTTTTGAATGTTGCCATAAGTAATTTTAAAAAAATCAATATAAATTAAAAAGCCTCCTCTAGTGATGAAAATAAAGCAGACGGACTGGAAGACCTCTTGGGGTCCCTTCCAGCCCTACATTTCTATGATTCTATGTTAAGTGCATTTTGAAAACATGTGTTTACTTTTTTTAATAGGTAAAGCGGAATGTGTATGACCTAACTAGTATCCCTGTTCGTCACCAATTATGGGAAGGCTGGCCTCCTTCTGCCACAGATGACTCAGTAAGTAGTTTCACCTCTTTTCACTTTTTCCAGTCAACATGTGACTGTTCACAGATTTATTATCCAACTCAGGTAAAAGCCTTTATTGTCCTTTGTTCAGAAAGTACAGCAATGGTAAGAGTGCAGGTAATTTAGGGCTTTATCCTTTGAGCTTCCTCGTCCTGATCCCAGCAATGAACTGAAACATGTAAGTAGTTCCATGGAAGCTATTTGCATGGGCAAACGTAAGTGCATGCTTCAGTGCATTGTTGGGTTGGAGCCAAAGTGCTTGGTACTCTTAAGGATCAAGCCCTTGTTGAGATGAGAAATTAATGGGAGTACTTGTGATGGTATGCACTTTGGTTCCAATTCAGGAAAGCATCCTTGTTTGGAAAAGCACTTAAAACACGTTTATGTATATTCCTGAATTGTACCCAGAGCCCCAATACACCAAGGTACTTAAGCAAATGTGTAACTTCAAGCAGGTGAATCGTCCAATTGAAGTCAATGGGACTACTTGTATGTTTAAGTATATACTTCACTATCTTGCTGAACCAAGGACTATACTCAACTGTAAGACTTTAAAAGGTTGCATCTAAAATTAAGCCACCCGTATACATAGAATACGTATAAATTTGTAGCTGATTAGAATGTGGAGGACATTATTTCCATTTCCTACCTGGTAATTTTAAAATTCCCAATATTTAAAATCAGAGGAAAATATTCATTTGTTCTTGTTGGCTGATTCTTCTACAGTTCTGACTCACTAGTTAATTAGATATTTTTGCCTACCATTTCATATAATCATAGAGAGTCTAAATGTAGAAAGATGCTAGACATTATATCCCACCTTCTGCTAATGCACAGTTGCTCCCTACAATATATTTCAGAGCATTTCTTTCTTTTTTGCTTTAGCTGTTTCCATTTTCCCCTAAGTAATACATTGCTAATACTGGTGAGTGGGGCTGCAGGTAGAAAGAAGCTGAAATGGAGCTTGTAGTTAATTAACTTCGCACGAAGCTTTTGTGGGAGTGACTGATCTTTGCATAAAACAAAATGCTACATTTCTAAAAGTGTTCAGTATGAAGCAGATTAAATCTGACATTCTGTAAAGTGAAAATAAAACAAGAATTTGCCTTCTGTAAATAACAATACTTTGAAGATATAACTATTGATTTCTAGTGAAGTCCTCCTAAAATAACTGCTGCTGTTTGAATGGTGAATGCCACATTTTAAAAAAATGTTGTGTAAATGATTTAAGCCAATGAAGCAACACAAAGACTGACCACATTTTTAACATAATTGCAAAATATCTCTTTGTTTGTGCTTGCAGCTGTAGTAGCTAATTTTGAGATACGTGCAGGGATCTGTGCCTGTGTATTGGAGAGCAGAAATCGAGACTTTAGGTATGATTATTTGATATAACAAATATGGTCCCATATAGGTAGTCACAGCCTTTGAAATGTGGGTGCATTTTAGCATCTTTTACATTTAAAATTAAGCAAAAAGGTTTAGAAATCCAGGATTTCTGATTCAGGTTCCAACAGCTGCTTTTAGTAAAAGCAAAATAAACAAAAAGAAAACCACCCTGCAAGATAGGATATCCTGCATGTCTAAAACTCATAAATCTGTTTTTAAGTCTGTTTTTACAAGTGACATTGTTGCAGGTGAAGTTTTCCCTTTTTCATGTCTAATGAAATTGGCGAATGTTGAGTCATCTGCTCCAAGGCAGGAGAGTCCTCAAAGCTCACTGCTTAAATCTGGTGCAGCTGAGACATGTCAGCTGTGTCAACAGATCTGTATGTGTTACTAACAAAAATATAATTAATTTCTATCTGAAATTAGAGGCCATAACTTAATACTATGAAGATTTAACATTAGCGAGAATTATCTGGAAACATCGACTTGCCAGTTACATATATTAAGTAATAGTTTATCTGTTTAAGTTGCTCTTCAATTTAATGGCAGATTTTTTTTCAATCACTTTTGATTGTGCTATATAGAGTTCTCAGAGTTGTGTATTGTATACAAGTATGGTACTAATTCACAATTAAAAGCTAAAGGAGGACTTGATTAGAATACTTTTTTCATTTACATTTTATGCAGCATAAGAAATACTTTGTAATACCACAGGAGGTTTTTTCAGTGCAGTTCTCATTAACCTTTGGCTTAGCAAACAGAACAACTAAATAGGCTTCCCATAATTGGATTCCTGTATCATCTTGAGTCTCTTATGAACCAGATAGACTTCAGTCTTCTGGCATTATCAGGAAATTCAGTGAAGTCAATAGTTACTTATACATTGTTGCATTTAGAGTTAAAATAGATTCTTTGCTTATAGTTTTATTTATAGAACTATGGAATACTGTCTGAATTGTCAATAACTCTTCCAGTTCTTTTTGCACACTTTCACTAGGGAACTAGGTACCTAAAGCTCTACAAGTAGGGGAATGTTTTCATGCTGTGACAGTTTAACTGTGAGAAACAAGACACATACAAGCCTGCAGAAATCTCATTTTACACTTTTAAAAAGGACACATTTTTAGTTACAAGAGGGTATGAATAATTTTAACACTGTGAATTATGTTTGTTCCTCTAATTAAAATGCAAACAATGTTAATGTATGAGGTTTTTAAAAATCATGTTTTCTATTTTTATGGGGGTGTTACTTGTGGAACAAAATTAATATTAAAGATTGTGGTGTTCTTGATATTTTTCTGATATTTACCATTCTCTGCCATTGATTGATGGCACTTTTAGCAATTAGAGTAGAATGTTTAAAAATTAATGGTTCATTGTAAATAACTTATCAGGCAGTGCAAAATGTTTATTTTAACTTCTGGTGATTGTACAGATCTAAACATTACACATCTTGTAAAGTGAGAACCAAGACAGAATTTTCCACCTAAACCTGTGTAAAATGTGCTACACTTTCTTTTCTTATATGAGCATATATGAACTTTTAAGATTGTTCGGATCATTGTGTCATAATCGCCCATTTAAATTCACACTAACTTTATAAAAATCACCCTCAAGATCAATACTCTAGTATTTTAGTAAGAGTTTTCAAATACTAAAATATTGTGATTTTCTTTACTTTAAAAAAAGAGGAAAAAAAATCATACTAATTTTTCAGCCGTCTCTTATCTCATCTGGTTACCTGTGAACGTTTGGGTTGAAATCTTGGCCCCATTGTAGTCAGTGGGCTTTCTGTGTATTTCATTCGGACCAGAATTTACTCACCGATTTTTGTGCTACTCTCACTAACCTGAAACCACTAGAACCCAGTGGTTATTTTTTTTACCAAAGTTATTCCTGGTCATGTCACAGACAGTTTGAACTAAGCCTTTCCTAGAAAGGAGTTCACTGTTTTCCTTAACACAAGTCATCCCAATATGGCTATGAGAAAGATCTGCTTTTCCCATAAACAGCAATAGATGATTTCTCAAAGTGAAATTCAACCCTGTGTAGAAATATACACAAAGCCAATGCACTAGTTAAATCCAATGTTTCCAATTCCTAAGAATTTATCTCCAGTAATTGGCCTCTAATGTGTGAGATCTTGTGAAAATACAGAAATCTCCTGGCTTTGTGATTTGGGGGAAACAAACGGAGAGAGAGAAAAAGAGCAGGATTTTCCTACACAGTGCCCTGTTGCCAGTGGGAATGCGTACTGAGCTGCAAACCAGGATTTGATGAGTTCTAGCCCTACCTCTTCTACTGACTGCTGTTAATGTTTCTGTTCCCTTCACAGCCCTTATTGTTAATCAAGGTCCCGTATCTCTATGTTAGGAGAGGTAACAATGCTTTACCTATTATACCGATAAAAATAACTGATAGTTTGTATAAGTTGGGAATAGAACTCCCACATCTCTAATAGAACAGTTGACACCTTGTTGTTCAGAAAGAACATGCTAAATTATGTACTTATGTAACCCACACTAACACAGTGTGGCTTGGTGTCACCTTCCAGTGGTTAGACCACATATGGAGGTTTATGACAGTTGCTGTTTTCATGCTAACAGATCTGGTTCTTTAGGTAAACTAATACAGATTTGTGCTTTTGGATCTAGAATTCCCTGGTTTATTCTCCACAGATGATCCAAATTTTTTTGTTACATATAGCTACTTTGTCTACTACTTGATCATGCTTTGCCTCCAGAGCCAGGAATCAACACCAGGAAAGCTGATGCCCAATATTCCAGTGCTGACTCAAATAGTTGAGTGACCCACTGGTAAGGTGGTGTTGTCTCCCTGTCTGAATCAGAGGGTAAAAAAAATGCTTTCTCACTACGATTAACTGTTGTGGAAGTGGAAGGGGTCTGTGCTGTGGTCCTGAAGGTTATAGGTTCAAACCATGCTGATGACTCATGAAGCAATGAAAGTGTAAGTGTGTGTGTGTGTGTGTTTATACACACCACAAACATTAGTATAAAGTTTGGGAATAATTGTTGGAACAATTCTATATTGAAAAATGTATTTAGAAGAGTTTGGAAGTTGTCAATATTTGTTTTACTGTATTTGAGTGTTTGTATTTTAGTTAATGGGAGCTATAACATTTGACAGCGGGCTGGGGCACTTGGTTGGTTGTTGTGTTTTGAGACTGAGAACCGTGTATAGGAGATGTTGCCTGTGTGTCCAGAGAGATAAAAACTTTGCCTTTTATTAGATGCAAAAAGATAAGAATTTGAATTAACAAACTTAGAGCTTCTCACTCTTGAAGGTGTAACGTTACAACTTGTGTGGGACTAGATGCTTTAGGGCATTGTTAATGACCCACAGAGCTTTTCACCTGTAGATCATCAATTTGAATCCAGCCTCTCTCAGCAGAAAGGTTTCAGAGTAACAGCCGTGTTAGTCTGTATTCGCAAAAAGAAAAGGAGTACTTGTGGCACCTTAGAGACTAACCAATTTATTTGAGCATGAGCTTTCGTGAGCTACAGCTCACTTCATCGGATGCATACCGTGGAAACTGCAGCAGACTTTATATACACACAGAGAATATGAAACAATACCTCCTC